AGTTATAAGGTATTAGAAGAGGACAATACTGGGAAAACTCGTGGAAGGGCTGCGGAATGGAGGAAGTAGGTGGCCTCACTGAAGACGCCGGACTTAGGCATTTCACCGTTCTGGAGTGCTTGTGATGCCACGTCGAGACTGCGTCTCCGAACTCATTTTTCTTTACTTGTTGAAGCATTCAATCGATTTTCGCGAATGGGGATGGGCGTATGAGCTTGATGCTTCAGCCTCATGAGTGCAAGAGATGTTGCAGTGAATTGAATTCGGCCATAGATCGACCTCGCTTGAGATGCGTATCATGCATCAGCATGATGTTTCAGCCTGACTATGAGGAAATTAGCAGGACCTCCCACTTGCCCATTTCATTTGGGCATTTGTCACGTCATATCTATGAGGAATCATCATAGGCCCTTGAAGCTTTACTCAACTTCATGGCACACAGGAGTGCGCGCACCGAATTTAATCGAAAGTGCTCCACTCCTAAATTATGTCATTTCAATTGGGGCCTGTATGGTTAGCTTCCATAAGTGGATTGTCTACATGGAATAATTCGGGGTATGCAATTGCAATAATAAGGCAGCCTTAAAGAAAGGTGTTGCGGTATGAGATTAATTTCTCTGTAGGTATACCGTGGCTGAAAACAGCGGTAATTGGGTGATAACGGCGACGCGCGGGGAGGGGGAGGGGAGGAAGGGGTGGGGTTGACAGCTTCAGTTACGAACTATCAGAAACAATCCCGCTAAGAGTGCGAGTCTTTCTATTACGAAATACCAGAATACCAGGCATGTTCAATAAGTACGGTAAGAAGGTCTGCTGCGGCTAAGTTGGATCGAGGTACTTCTTTTGTAGTGTCGTAGAGTGGTGGTGAGGGTTCCATTGCACACGCAATTTGATCGCAGTGTAATACTGCGGATGCATGACAAGCCAATTGAGATGGCGGCCCTCCTAGAAATAGGGTCAACCGTTGAAGTGCGGAGTGGTACGAGAAGGTACGAGTTAGCTCAGGCACAATGAACAGAGGGCACAGTCAAATCCACAAATGACGGATCTTGGTCAATACTATAATACGACTCCGGATTAAATACACCCCTGCGACTTTCAGGAAGGCTTCCGTTTAACCCAGGTGGTGGGTGTCACCGTGGATGGAGACGGGGAGGATAGTTTAGAAGGTATTTTTTTATTTAATTTATATAAATGGCTCTTGGTATGGCGCCGTGGTGGCAATATGATTTCAGGCGGTGTCCTACGGTTTCCATTCAGTGGTGATGGTATGAACACGGGCGTTATTCCATGGTTTTTATACGATGGCAAAAATATCAACATATGTATATGGAGTCGAAATTATCACGAAAACCGAATACCGTATGATGAAAATACCGATTACCCTGCACTTAGTTACTTTGGGTATACCGCAACGCCATACCTGAAAGTAATTTGTTTGGCCTGAAAAATTATTTCAATATTCGTGTTTAGAGCTTCCCATAGGGAGCGACGGAAACGGATCCTCTGGGAATGGTGGGAGTCGTGAGTGACTTGACTGTGTTTCCTGTAGAAGGAAACCCCTACCGAGAATCAATTCCGTTATCCTCGGTAGTATAGTGGTGAGTATCCCCGCCTGTCACGCGGGAGACCGGAGTTCAATTCCCCGCCGGGGAGATTTTCTTTATTTCCACGTAAAAATTTCTCTCCTTAGATTTTAATTATTGCATGAGATTGGAAGACATTTAGTTCCAATGCTACTCGTTTTTTTTTTCATTCCTGGTGAACACTGCAGTGCTAGATTTTTATTTCGGATGTCATCTCTTATGAGGTAATGGTCACTTCTTCCGACTAAAGATGGTACAGGGCACAAACCAGAAGAGTTTCACTTGAATTAAGGGAAGATTTATTCTCTCAATTCATTTTTCCCGGTGTTCCACTTAGTCCGTGATCATCGTGGAAAGACATTCCCTCTTTTGATTCCTGTCTGCCCTCTATGCATAAATTCAATCAACTCAGTGAATTGTCACTGCAGCTCATGTTTCCCATTTAGCGCACTTGCCTCCACCTGGTGCATGGAGACGTTTCATCCATGTAAGATGGTATACAGATAAAATTGATGAATGGATAAGGTCGGGCCGAGAGCCAGGCTCCAATTGACGTCACTAGTAAATACCTAACATATAGATAGATCTCTCTATATACCTTGGTATATACCTACCTCGACTCTTCCACTCTCGCCCTTGGTTTTTCTCCTATGGTATGAGATTTTGTGAAGCATAATACCCACATTTCATAACAAATCGGTCAGGTTTTTCCTATGTTTTACATTTAGATTAAAGGTTCTGAGCGAGTCTTTTTTTCTTCGCTGATGAAGCCTTCCTGGTTGAAGTGTTGGGAGAACATTCGCACATTAACAGGATTTAATGAATTCGCGCGCTTGCCCAGGACCACTCATATCTTCCGCAATTCAAGATCCATTAGGTACCGATGAAACGAGAGTTTCTCTCTGCTGGCTCCATGGGATGCGTTTTCGGTGGGCAATCAGACAATGCACTCATGCATGTGGAATAGAAGGGAGATACGTGCGAGTAAGATAATACGGCTACAAAGAAAAGGTTTTTTTTTTTTTTTCTTTTTTACAAAGACAAAACACACGAGAGGAAAGAGATTGTACCAGTGACGTGGTCGCCCTGGCCCGCCTCTCCTCCCGCTGTGGCCCAATCGTACGAACTCCTCTGACCGGACATTTTGTCGTCTGCTGGCGCGTCTCCTCCGTACACGTAGGGCGAATCTCACCTGTTCATGTTGAGAACTTCCCACGTGGAGCGTTGGATGAATTTCTCAGAAGGTAGTGAAAAGGAAATTGTGGGTTCCTCGGTAGTATAGTGGTGAGTATCCCCGCCTGTCACGCGGGAGACCGGGGTTCAATTCCCCGCCGGGGAGAGCGCTTTTTTTTTCATTATCTCCTCGCACATTTTTAGCTCAGATGTTATTGCATGAGATTGGAAGGCATTTCGCTCCAATGATGGGAGAAATAAAGGTCATCACCGCAAAAAAAAACTTGAAGGCTGTTCAGGGGACAGCATGGTCAGCGCACCCAATAGTTCAAAATGCTTTACGATTCCGAAGCTTTCCAGCTATCACTACAGGTCTTGGTGCTTCCCATCATAGTGAGTACATAGATATCTATACACTCTATGTCTATGTCCAAACGCACATGCTCTCTCTCGGCACAAAGTAGAATCTGCTTACGTGTCCACTTGATACGCTTGAGATTCCCTGCATCTGTTAATTTCGAGAAATTCCCATGGGAAACGAGGATGCGGATCCTCGAATTGATAGTAGTTCTGTAGTTGCTTACTAAGTAAGAGATCCTCGGTAGTATAGTGGTGAGTATCCCCGCCTGTCACGCGGGAGACCGGGGTTCAATTCCCCGCCGGGGAGATCTCTTTTTCTTTATGCTTCAAGTCAACATTCCTTCGCTAGAATTTTATCAAATACTTCAGATGTCATTGCATGAGATTAGAAGACACGTCGCTCAAAGGGGGCGGGCATTATGTACAATTGATTTTATAAATCTTGAAAGACCTAGGTCCGCGACTGATGGGCTTCCAATCCCTTTCCGAGGTTTCGACAAGCTGATGGCAGTACCAGATTAATGAGCTACCAGGAAGCTGGCCATGCCGGCGTGGCAAAGTTGAACCGGAACTCATTCTCAATGAATAACAGATAAGTCAATAAATATCAAACCAGAGAGTTTTCTGAAAATTTTTTTTTTTTACAAGTTCCATTGTTTCCATTCAGCCTGAGTCTGCTGGGTATGAAAAAAAAAAGATAATCAACTTTGAGTTTATCTCATGATTACTTAACTTAAAACTCACCAAAATTGCTGAGGATGCAGCGTGTTTTCATTTATTCAAAAGTCGAGAAGGCTGCAAAATTCCATATATTTCCAAATCAGAGTTATGACCGATATCATATCGCCATTTAAAAAATGGACTGTTCATTAAGAAATATGGAGATTCTGAATGAACTTTGAGGAAACTCTCTGAATCGATATTCATTGTTTCACCTACTATTCATTTGGAATAAGCTCGTAAACACCATCTGCAAGGGAAAACGAACCCGACGAATGAATTGAAACGGAAGGAGAGAGCTGAACGTGGCCTCGATGACCAGGGGGGACAGCACTCGAGCGTTTCCACACGATCGGCAGGGGCTCTTGTCCATTCTGAATTTCTACCTTTCTTTTCGATAGTTGCTGATGGTAGTGCTGAGGCACAACGAGATTCAGTGAAATTTTAAGTAGCAGTTGCAAACGTCCTCGTACATGCAAAGTGAAAGTTTCGCAAAATTTATTCTGTTTTGAGCGGAGATATTTAGGTTAGAAGTCGTAGGTCTTTTTTTTTGTTGCAACCCCGTATTTGACGTCCAACGCGCATGTTCAGGCAGAGGCTCTTTCGTTGCCTGCTATTGTGTCCACTTCATACACCTGGGATGCCTTGCATCGTTCGTTTCGAGATTTTCCCACGGGGAGAGATGGACGCGAATCCTCCGCCAATAGAGAGTAATCGTAACGCAATAAGTATGAGATCCTCGGTAGTATAGTGGTGAGTATCCCCGCCTGTCACGCGGGAGACCGGGGTTCAATTCCCCGCCGGGGAGGTATTTTTTTTTCACGTGAACATTCCTAAGGCAAAATTTTACTTCAGAGGTAATACTCGCCGCAAATCAATTCTTCCCACGACTCTCTAACTTTCCTTTCAGCGCTTACGATCAATTTTTCGCCCAGAGACCAATTTTTCCGTTTCTCCGCCCCAGCATTCCGTTTCATCCGAATCGTGTCTTCAGCGTGTGGAAAAAACATCAGCGTTTCCAAAAAGCGTCAGCCCAACTAGAGTAATGGCGTCATGGTGATTCGCACCTAGCTTCCATGCTAAAAGACTGACAAATATTTTCCGACAGGACCTGGAAGTCTTTCGAGCGGATTTGAAGGCAATGGGCTGAATGTCTGGGCCATGGAGTGATAGCTTGCTCACAGGACGGTCGTTTTATTGATCCTGAATGCAGCGTTTCGTATATCTGCAAGAATCCCTCAATACACAATGCCAGGGTTTCAAGCGTTCAAGGGACACGTTCGGTAAGCAAAATTATGCGCAGTGGCCTACGGAGGCTGGGGCGAATGGGACTCGAGCCCCCCTCTTGGCCTTCGGGAACCCCCTCTACCCCAAGGACCGGTGTTAGCGACTGGGAAAATAAGCGACCGTCATTGGTAAAACGCCGAAATTCTCGTGGAACCTCTCTCTCTTCCCCCCTCCACTATCCTCATCTCTCAGGTACCATAACACCACCCTTCAAAAATCCTACTAACGCGACTAATTATATCCTGTATTTTGAAAAACCATAACTTTTCCTTTCACATGACGAAATGAAAACCGAAATCTGAAATCGCGGAATCCTAAGGAGTACTAGCAGAGCATTAACGCCCTTTCGAACGCCCTAACGTTCAGAACAAACCGTTCCTCACAGCTCCCAACTTCATCGGACATGCTTTCAATTTCACCAAAACTCCTTTGATGCGCTTCAGGTGGCAGCTGCTGGCCTTGCGGATCCTGGCCAACGTCCTGGTCCTGATCCTCCTCGCGACCAGCGCCTACGCCGTGGTCCTGGTGGTGCAGCGGAGCTCCGCCCCCGACGCGAACGCCAACTGGTGGCGCCAGAACGAAGTGACCCTGGTCGTGACCGCCATCGGCCTCCTCTTCCCCAAGCTCTTCGACTGGATCGGGATGATGGAGAAGCGGCACCCGAGGCAGCATCTCCGCTGGCAGCTCGCCAGGTCATATTTTATTCCTTTCATCACGGAATGGCAGCGGCACGTGAGGTGAAAATAAGATGAAAGAGGTGAAAATAAGATGAATCTCGCTCGTTCGTCAAGGCCGAGGGTGTTGCTTATCTTTCGAGTGTCACATGAAAGGGGCCGAAGTCATGAGACAAATGAGTGCGAAATGACCAAAAGTGACTCCCTCGCTCTCGATTACAGGCGGCTCGTCAAAGATTCATTATGTGCCCGCCGCCGTCATTTCTGGATGCGATTCCTGGGAGGGGGTCTGGGTGGGGGAGCTGAGTGGGGGGGCTGGGTGGGTCTCATTGCTGTCTCCCGTCTCCTTTCAGGATTCTGGTGCTGAACCTGGTGAACCTGTACACACTGATCCTGGCTTTGTTCGGCAAGGTGGAGCTCATGGTGAGACGCGGGAATTCTGCTGAGTTGGGCGCTCCCCTGTTTAGCAATAGAAGTCGGAATGGCAATAGCTAGGCTACGGTTGCACTGCATGGGCTATGTTCTGCATGTTCCAGAGCCTTTTTTTTTCTTCAATTCTTTGACTGAAGAGCAATTTTTTTATTGGGGTGTCAACTCAATTAGATTAATTTACCGAATAATATTTTTATTTCATTTTCAAATTTGAGAGTTACCAATCGAATACACATTCGTACCAAACCTCTTCACTACCTTGACCGTATGAAGAATTTTAAATATATGTATTGCAAGTACTCGTGCCAAATAAACCAGAATATGAACATTTATTTACCCAAGGATCAAGTAGTAGTACCGTACATTGCAATCATCGTCGTATTTCATTAAAACTGCTATACAACTTAAAAATTGATACGATAGTTAACACCGTATTATTATACGGTGGGTGGAGTAAGCTGTAGATACATGAGTGCTTGTAGATCACACCTGACACGATAACCAAAGTACGGAAGGAATTATTGTTCGAGACACTCCGTAATTTATCGCAGATAATCAATTTCTTCTGATTTTATCAACTTGTAAAAATTATCGATCGATGTTCCACCTTCAATCAACGCACTTCTCAGACGGAGGAGCTGGCCACCTTGAAGGCGAACCTGACGACAACGACGACGGTGACGGGGCTGCCCATCGACCTGAGCCCCGAGCCGTGGAAGCCGGTCATGGAGTGCGAGAACATCACGGTGGACTGCGGGTACTTCACGACGACGGGGAGGCCAGCGTGGAGGACATCGACGGCGGCTTTCGAGACGTCGACGGCGGGGTGGCCCGAGGACGGGGAGGAGGGATGGCCCGGGACTAATTCCCGGAACGACTCGTTCATGGATGCCTTGAACGCGACGGACGAGGGACGGGAGGCGACCGAGTACGACCGATACGACCGGTACGACCGACAAAATTGGACCGAGTACTTGAATGAGAATTTGACGGAGTACGCACATGCGAATTGGACGGAGTACGCTCTCCCGAATTTGACGGAGTACGTGTACCCGAAATGGGCCAACACCGTGGAAGCAGAGGTTTTGGTGACGGGGTCCTCCCTGCTTGGCCCGGCTACCGAAGAGGCCTCGACGAGGTACAGTCCGACGAACGAGGATGGCATCACCAAGGAGCGCCCGAAGACCTTCCTCGAGATGCAGGCCGAGGAGCGGCTGGCGCTGGATCGGCTGGGGAAAAGAACGAGATCGTCGTCGCCCAGGGAGGAGAAGGTGGCGGAGGGGGAGGAGGGGGAGGAGGGGGAGGGGACGAGTACGACCGACGCGGGGGGAGATGGGTGCGTGATCACGTTCTGCAGCGAGGTCACCACCGAAGCGACCCGGACCACGGACTTCCGAACCGAGAGGCTTACGGGTACGGTCACGAAGGGGTTTTCGAGGCTTCGTGGGTGCAGAACGGACCCTGGATCGGACGGGGGGCAGTAGGCGATCCTCGTTCCTAAATCGAAAATATTTAAATAAAAATAAATCAATCAATTGTATTTTAATTTGAACCAAATCATGTGTAATAATTAGCGCGATATCAGCTGAAAATTGAGCTGATTTCGTGCCCAAACCGACCGGTCGCTGAATACGGATCACCTTTCCACCCGCGTCCGATCCCTTCGCAAACGCATGCCAGAGGACGATATGGTTGCCCGCAGGGGAGGAGGAGGCCCGGCTGCGCTACCTCTGCTGGGAGACCATGTTCGGGCAGGAGCTGGTGAAGATCACGGTCATGGACCTGGTGCTCACCGGGGGGGCCGTCTTCATCACGGACTTCATCCGGGCGGTGTTCGTCAGGGTCATGAACCGGTGCTGGTGCTGGGACCTGGAGAAGAGGTGGCCGGCGTATCCGGACTTCGACGTGGCCGAGAACGTGCTGCATGTCGTCAACAACCAGGGGATGGTCTGGTGAGTGCTTCTAAAGGGGGGACTCGTTTTTTTTTTCAATGAATCTAAACCCATCTAAACTTGCCGACTATTTGCCATATTTACTAATCTGAGCCTGAGATTTTCCCGCATAACGTTTTTTATTTCGCCGAACAGTGTAAAGACCTCAGGTGGCTTCGAAATTTTTTTCTCGCAAGAAGCATTACTAGAGGAAAGAAATATGCAGGAAAACATGGTCGTTTGTTAAAAAGAAAAATATGACGGTAGGATGGGGATGTTCTTCTGCCCCGGACTACCGGGGATCAACGTCCTGAAACTGATCCTGCTGATGTACACGCGGAGCTGGGCGGTGGTGACGTGCAACGTCCCCCACGAGATCGTGTTCAGGGCGTCGCGCTCCAACAACTTCTACTACGGGCTGCTGCTGCTCTTCCTCTTCCTCTGCACGCTGCCGGTGGGGTACGCGGTGGTGAGGCTGCCGCCGTCGTGGCACTGCGGGCCGTTCTCGGGCTACGCGAGGGTCTACCACATCTTCACGAGGAGTCTGAAGGCGGCGGTGCCCGAGAGCGTCCAACTGGGGTTGGACTACGTGGCGTCGCCGGGGGTGGTCATCCCGCTGGTGGTGCTGCTCGTGCTGGTCATCTACTACCTCGTGTCGCTCACGGCGGCGCTGAGGGAGAGCAACGGGGACCTCAAGATTCAGCTGCGAAGGGAGAGGACGGAGGAGCGGAGGAAGATGTTCAAGATGGCGGATCACAAGAGGGGGGGCGGGGACATGCGGAGCAAGTGGGACGAGTACATCCTGCCGGCGTTGAGGCAGAGGAGCAGCGAGGGGTCCTCCACGGCTCAGCCGGAGTCCGTGTCGCAGATCGACAAGGAGAAACGGGCGCTCGGTGAGATGGAGGCGCTTTTCGGTTGCTCTTTTCTTAATTTATGATTTTTTTTGCTACCGTTTTCTTCTAGATTTTTGCTTGGTTATATATTATATTTGGTTTTTGCAATTCTCTATATTATTTCGTACGTAGACTTCCTCGTTTGGTCTTACGGTAGGTCCATTTAGGTGAGAAAAAAAGGAAATACTTTTCCCTCCAGAGCTCGTAAGGAAGAAGATGAGGCAGAGGAAAGAGAGACTGGAGAAGCAGAAAGAGAAGAAAATGGTGAGCAAGGTCCCTCTCATCAAGATCAGCCACGAAGACGAGCTGACGAACCCCTGATCTCGGTTCCCCGAAGTTGAGAATGGATTTGCACGGGAAAGTTTCGTTTGCACGGAATGGTTTTTTTTTTTTTGCCGAGGGGACTGTCCTTCTCGACCATTCTCAAAGGCGAGGAGATACCCGGATTTCGCAGGCGGAATGAAATTCCAAATTTGTCCCCAATCGATAGGACTTGGAGACCGTAGGATATGCCGTTTCATTATCGCTTTTCGATGTTCTTGATTAGCACAATGCACGACGAGAAATTCACTTGCACTGTATATACGATGGTATTGTCATGAAAGCACGCAATACTCAATAGGAAGCTAAAATATGAAGAAACTCGTATCTAGTCGATTACGACACTGGTTCCTCACTGACGATTGGTGAAACTTTCAAAACGTGTAGCCGAAACTGAGAAGAAGCCGCTTTCATGGATTCATGTATGTATTTATCCTTCATTTGCTTACATTCTAAGATATATGAATAATAATAAAAAATTGAGGTCTAAGGATCAAAAGTTGTGCAACCTGTCGCGCTCGTCCACCATGGAAGACACGCGCGAAAGCTCTTTGGACAGGAGCGCACCCTCGCCGTTATAAAAATTCCGATGTCAATTTAAGATTGGAAGATTCGTTACTATTGAAAGAAAAATACTAGCTGGGTCTCGTAGCCAGCCTCCCGTCCACGACAGTTGGGAGAAGGATGTGGCTTGGGAAGTAAAGAGGGGCCCGGGGAGGCACCTCGCTCCTTCGCCGAAGGGGCGAGAACGGGAGAGTAATGCAACGAAATGCAGCCAAGTATTTCCCTGGGTTGCATATGACTGCAATCGAATTTCACTCGTACGGTGGTACTTGTTCGTTGTTTGCGGCAGCTTTCCAGACGTCACGATCGGTAACGGCACTTCACATCTCGTGGACATGGTCCAGGCCGGCACACGGAGGCGGCCGTTTTATTGTCTTCTGGAGCGTCAGCTCCATGCATCAAACGTTTTGCACGTGATTCCGGGTCGAGAACTTCCGGCCCGTCAAGTACTGGCAGTTTCAACACTTACTCGCGAGGTCCTCGGTAGTATAGTGGTGAGTATCCCCGCCTGTCACGCGGGAGACCGGGGTTCAATTCCCCGCTGGGGAGATCTCTTTCTTGTTTATTACAAAATTACCAACTTTTTAAAATTATTATTGTCGTGTATGTTCTTGCCTAAAATTGGAAGACAAATGGTTTTTAAATTATTACAGAGGGAACAAATTGGGAGTTCAATCATTCGGAAGCTTGATTTCTGGTGGTCATCGAGTCTAGTTTATCCCAAATAACCACCATTAAATATTTAAGTTATCACCAGGGATTTCCCAGAGACAAAAAAAACTCGCATTGAAGCAATTTAAAATGACCATTCGAGGAGGGGGGGGGGGGGGGGGGGGGGGGGTGCAATCTCCCACGCTTGTCAGCTATCNGGGGGGGGGGGGGGGGGGGGGGGGGGAGGGGGATCGTGCAATCTCTCACGCTTGTCAGCTATCATGCAGAAACACTCCTCTCCCAACAAATTCGATTTCGATGTCGTTGCTTGGAAGAAATATCTCCAGGATGAAAACAGGATGATGGATTGCAATTGCTGAAAATTTTCCTTGCCAAATCTGAGATGCTCGAGCACGCTGCCTGGTTGAGGAGTTCGTATGGAAAATAGGAAATAAAATGTTGGCGAGAGAGTGTTTACTTTGAAAAAGGAACTTAAGATATATAAGATCTCCCCGGCGGGGAATTGAACCCCGGTCTCCCGCGTGACAGGCGGGGATACTCACCACTATACTACCGAGGATCTCGTGGTAAGAAACTTATGGCTATCGCTACTCAGCGAGGATCTGGTCCCGCTAATCACCGCGCGAAGTATTCGACACGTAGCAGGGGTGGAGTTAACACTCCGGCACACAATGGAACGACCGCTTCATGCATGCCGGACATTCTGTGGGTAGGTGCGACACGTGGAGACGTGACGGTGGTGATCGGCTGCACGTCGTGTTGCCCTGCGTTCCCGCTCTGATGCGCCCATATTTGTTACTTCTTTCGGAATGGATCATGCTCTCTCTATCTGACGTCCTGGATTCCGAAGAACACCCCAATTTCCATTCTTCCTCGCGGACTCGCACGGATATCCGACTTGTTCCCATTCTTCGCTGACGGCTTTCATAAGTCCACGTGAAGCTTTTAGGTGGCGACTCCTAATGGCACCTTTCAGCCAGCCATCGAGATCATACCGGAGTCGCATCAGGAAATTTCACTGGAATATTCTCGAAAAAGATGAGAGATGTTCCAGTTCGTGCGGGAATCGGCTGGAAGAGTGCTCTGGGTTTTTGGGCCGTGTCCTCATCCCGATGGAACTTCACCTTCACCGCTTCAGGGTCTCGTATTCCCTGGGATCAAATTTGTGGCTGCGTAGCCTGTTTGCGGGCAAGTGGAATTCCCACGGCCTCAAAAAAAAAAAACAAAACAAAACAAAGTACAAATAGGCTGCAGGAGAGAGCATGATCGGTACACCCAACGGCATGAGGGTGATATCCGGTCTCTTGACATCTTTCCAGCCGTCACGATAGGTCACGGCTCCACATAACGCCCATGCTCACAGAATGTCCAGCACACGGAAGCGGTCGTTTCATTATGTACCAGAGCGTTAGCACCACCCGTGCTACGCGTCGAAAACTTCCAGCGGTGAAGGACGAGATCAGATCCTCACTGAGTAGCGAGAGTCGTGGGATGAAAATACGTGATCCTCGGTAGTATAGTGGTGAGTATCCCCGCCTGTCACGCGGGAGACCGGGGTTCAATTCCCCGCCGGGGAGATCTCTCTTTTTTTTTTCCCTCCCACTTTTCTCCAAAATTTCATTTATTTAAGACAATTTGTTTGAGTGATTACATGAAAGAAAAAAGAAGGAATCTTCATTAGGAAGTTTGACTCAGAGTAGTGGTTTTGAATTCTCTGTACCTGTTTTCTAGTAAATTCGAAGTGCGACGTGCAACACTGTTTGGTATTATAACGCGTGAGTGAAGCTGGCAACCCTGTCACCGCTGCACTGCCCTCTCTTCGTCTACAAATGAATCAGTCAGCTACAACGACTGGAAGGGAACGAACAATTCCACGCTGTGAAAATTAAAAAAAAATTCAACATTTGCGATGAAAATACTGATTTTGGTACGAGTTCCTCCAAAAACAAACTTTACCTGAAACTTATCCATCTCTATCTGACAGCCTGCATTTCACAATGGTCAGATCAATATTATTTTAGCCATACGCGACTGGAATCTTCGTGAATATGAAATAGCGAACAAAATGCAAAATGATGAGATCTCTTTTTTTTTTCTTCCCTACGAAGAGTAAATGGTCAAATCTTTATCGCGCATGTCATCGCCTGAAATTGGAAAGCAAGTGGTTTGAATGGTTGCAGAGAGATAAGAAAAAAAGGGAAGGAATTATTTTTCGGAAGCATGACTTTCCCCCAAATAGCTACCGTTACCTTGAGACGGTTAGTCACGCAGGGAACTAACAGTTTCTGCCGGTGATCTGACCTGGTGATCCAGAAAGGGTGACGGTTGCACGTGCCCTTCCCGCTGTAAGTAAATTTCAAATTCGAAAGAAAATATATGGTTTTTGGTAGGAAATCTTCCAGAAACGAACTTTGCCCGCATTTTTGCCTACCCCTACCTGCGTTTCACAGCGGTCAGACCAATATTATTTTAGTTACAGTCGGACAAACGAAACTTGACCGGATGTCGGACAGATTCACCGACAGGACGGGACCATGAGTGGTCCTTTTTCTTTCAGGGAAGAAGGTCCACTAAGAAGTAGTTTCTTGGGTATATGAAAAACCAGTTGGCTCTCCAATAACCACCAGATGCATTTAATTTTTAGCTTCTTTGTGGGCATTTGGATTTCCCCAGACTCAGCAAGAATAATTACTATGGAAATTTTTTCTCGTTGAGTCTGGGGACAGATATTACTATAGCAATAGTGACTGGATTAGGTCCTCCTGAGCATTAGAATTTGTTTCAAACCTTTACGTGATCCTCGGTAGTATAGTGGTGAGTATCCCCGCCTGTCACGCGGGAGACGGGGGTTCAATTCCCCGCCGAGGAGACTTTTTTTTTTCTTATTTTCACCTACAATGAGACTGATGGCCAAATCTTTATCGCGTATGTCAACTCCTAAAGTTGGAAGCAAGTCGTTCGAATGATTGCAGAGAGAAAAAAGGAAGGAACCCTTTTTCGGAAGCACGGCTTTTCCCCCCAAATAACTACCATTATATATTTACCATTATATATCTAAGAAAAAAATGGCACTGAGGAAATTTAAAACGTCGGAGACCTTGCACTCGCTCGAGTTCCTCGGCCACCGACGACATGCAGAGGCACTCCGCAGATGCATTTTTTTTTTCACTTTCACATCGATATTTCACTTTCGATGTCGCTGCTGAAGATGAGAGGATACATCGCGAGAGGGAAAACGTGGAAAGAAAGAATGCGTCCGAAGAAGGCTGCCCTAGTTTTCCTTTACCGTTTTCAAAATGCTTTCATCGGAAAAGGACGGGCAGCCTGCCGGCGAAATGAGACTTTAGAGCAAGAGGGCAATTTCCGTCGCTCGAAGTCAGACGCCATTGCGTTTCATGAAGCCAGTTTAGTAGAGAGTTTTGGTTACCCGTTTTGAGGAGGACGGGGACGCGAACGAATTACTAGGCGTTCGAGTTCTCGATTTTCGAATGGCAGTTTGGCTACGCGTTCCAGATCTGGAACGGATAGTAAGATCCACTGATCTCACCGCAGATGGTGTGCAAACGACAGCTAATTTAAGGGTATGGTCGACTCAGCGATACACAGCTAAGGTACAACCTGGTAAACGCACAAATCCACAGATATCCAAATGTAATGCATATCCCCCTTGTTTTGATTTACTGCAATTAAATTCTCTTTCCTTAAGAAGGAATGAATGCCTCAGTTTGCCTATTGGACAAACGCTCGTGATTCCTTTATCATGATCGCCTGTAGACATTGCAATCCTTGGCTAAAACCAGAGTTCCTCTGTCCTACTGTATTTTCTCATCATTCACCATCCCCAATGACATATTATGCTTCCTTTCTGTCCGTCTCTCATGGCAAAGTAACCGAAGTTCGTGTCTGGGTTGCATCCTACTTCTCTGATGGCGAAAAGGACATGTCAGTTGCTGTCCTGAGGGATATTTGGCTAAAAGCCAAGTTGTGGACGTGAGACAATCGTCCAGAAACCCACCTCGAGCAAAACGTACATTTCTATCAGTCGGGAAACCCTTGCTGCAGACGCGAGACAATTGTCTAGAAATCCCACCGGGCATACTGTGCCTTGAATTTCAGCTGCTTCGCCATCAATAGCAGCTTTCCTTCCTGGATGGCTGACTTGAACGAATCACGCGTTGTACCGAGGCGCACGCGCCTATCAAGTCGTTCCTGATGGGTGGATCTTGCGTCGCGATCACGTTCCTGAGAGAACGGCTGGAAGAGTCCCTCCACGTCTTATACGTCTTCCTCACGCGTTCTAAAACTGCAGGTGACGTCAGCCGTCCTCTAAAACGGGTAACCAAAATTCTCTAGTGTTGAGTAACACCTTTCCATGAGCACACACGGGATGATCATTCTTGAATATTTGTCGATCATCAGTTCACTCAAAAGGGCATTTGATCCCCACAGCAGCTTTCCAGCTGTCACGATCGCCGACGACGATTCACACTGCTGTGGACGCGGATATCCGTCCGACACACGGAGGTGCTCGTGCCATTGTCTGCTGGAACGTTACCTCCACTCAGTGAACGCATGCTCTACGTTGAGAACTTTCCACGGTGAGCGACGGGATTAGGTTCAGTCGAGTAACGAGAAATGTCCCCCTCTTATCACCAGATCCTCGGTAGTATAGTGGTGAGTATCCCCGCCTGTCACGCGGGAGACCGGGGTTCAATTCCCCGCCGGGGAGATCTTTTTTTTTTTCCCTCCCAGCAAAATTTCAATTTCATTTCAATCATCATATTTGATGACAAGTAGGATGAACGATTGCGGATAGAAAAAAAAGGAATTCTTGAGATGCTTGGTCAATATTTCTCCAATAAGCAACTTTAAGTATTTACTTATTATAGATGAATTTTTCTTGGCAAAAAAGGGCATTGCTTAGAGGAATTTAAAATTGATCATCTATTATGCAAAGTTGCCAATCTTAGTCACAGCTCTGAGGGGTGTGTCCTACCTAGAGCCAGTAGTTTTGGCTTGGCTACAAACAGCAATCTGTAGGAAAGCTGGGAAGCTTAAAGATAATGAAGCTCAAATCCAGTCACTAGTGACACTGGCTTTGACATCAACAAATTGTGCCCGTTTTGAAATATGTAGTCCAAACAAATAAATATATACATCAATGAATTTGTGTGTTCTATTGCTTTGTTTTGAAAAATGAATAAAGAACAAGAAAATCAGGTCCAAGGACAATACCAACAACTGTCTGCAACTCAAGATTGCTTGCTGGTTACAAGAAGGAATGGAAAATCCTCTTCTGCCCTCTTTGGCTGTGGGAAAGACTGAAGGAGATCGTGCAGTCTCTCAGGTTTGTTGGCCACCAATGACCGCACGATGGAAAAGAACTTGGAATGGTGTTCTAGGTTGTGTCTGGAAGCAAAAAAGTTGAGATGGGCAATTTTCACATAATGCAAACATAGTGAAAAGGCAAAAATATGAAGTTGGTCAATTCTGCACAAGTAGGATTGGAAAGGTTTTTTTTTTTTTTCTTTAGTCATGTCCTGCCAAAGTGGCACTTAACTTGCTTCTAAGTAGTGAAAATTCAAAGGCTGCTAAGTCAAATATCCCTCTTTTTTGTAACAGAGATAAATACTAAGACAGTGAGGGTGCTGCTTGAGAAGCTCACTGAATGACCACCAAACCCTCCATAAAGACAAACATCCAGAGACTTTACTTTCTTCAACATTTTTACAGAATGAAAGCATGATTTTCTTCAGGAAAAAGAAAGTTACCTCCAAAAACTAGAAGGCAAAAGGTTTAGAAGCTGCTTTCCATCCACAGTACAGGATAACGATAACACATACATAATTAAAGGCATCAGAACAAAGTTCTGTAGATGTACAATGACACACTATGGGGAAACAGTTCTCACATCTGGAGTAAAATGCGTCCAACCATCTCCCTGCATGTGATCAGGTTGCAGATGTAGGACCGGGTGTAGTGGCGACATGAGTAGCATTCACAGCCAGTCATGAGGGGCTCGAAATCCTCCAAATACCTCCTATAAGAATTTCCCTTCTGTTACATATTACAGCCATTGGAGCTCAGCTGACAAGTCAAGAGTCTGTGGATAGGATTAATGCTGCTGAATACTAGAAAAATCATGAGATTATTTCTCTGAAGTGAAATCACCAAAGCCATTCTCAGCACCAAGAGAAAATCTGAGAACTAAATGTACACAATTTACTGATTTGAAGAAAAAAAAGGATTGCAAGGCTACATATGGCAATCTTGAAGCCTGCTCCATTTCTGTTAACCATTGGGGCATGTCTAAAAATGGTAAAGTACATGAACCAAATTTCATTAAAATTTATTTGGAGTTGGTGGCTTAGCTCCCCTGTTAGTCAGCACTAGGAAGGAGTGAAAAAGAATTCTGAACCATCAGCAACCCCACCAGTGTTAACAGAAACCTTACTCTCCTAGAAACACATACCTATGGTTAAATAGTTCAACAATTTGGGAAAAGAGAGTCAAAGCAGACCTGCAGATATTCTTGAGCTCCATACCTACCTGTCAGATAAGCAGAGGACTAAGGGCTGCTTAGTTGTAATTCCATCCTCCATACTTGTACCTTTGTCACTGTAAAAACAAAAATTCCACATCACAATTGTTGCTTCATGTTTCCTATAGAGTTACACAGAGAACACATTTTAAAAGAGAGTTGGGGGAGAGTAGCAGTTGGACATATAAGCATCAATGGCTACTGGCATCAAAAAACATATTAAAGTAACACATACCTACAAGTTACAAACCTTTCTGTACTTGATACAGCAGAAGGGCAAGGAAGGGGGAAAATGAGAGCAGAATCCCTCTCTGTCACCAAAAGGGGAAGACTAGAGTCAAAGACATCAACTCCAAGTGCTATGGCATGAAGGACAATATTTGGATGCCATGCTCCAGGCAGGAATCTTGGCTTCTCTTCTGGCAGCTCCTTCTGCAATGTAAAGGACACAACCAACGTGCATGATATCAAGTGTACATAGAGGAAGGCTTGGCATGACACAGTTAAAGAATCTGGAACATTTTATGTTCACCTGGTAGAGGATATGCTGGGTTATTTGACAAAGTAAATACTGCCTGTAAAACTCACTTCAAACAGAGGTTACAGATAACGTTTTGCAAGCCCTGCAAGTAAACAACCCTGAGTCAAATCAAAAGTTTCAGATTTGTCTAAAGATGAAAACTGAACTTGGAAAGGAAGACAGATATAGTCAGCAAGCACTGCTCATGGAAAGCAGTATTGCTTAACTCATACACTCAAGGCTTTGAAATGCAAGACCCATTGTCAGTTACCAGATGGCTTCAGAATCTTAATTCTGCTGGGCTGCTGGGCTATGACTGGTACAGGGATTTTCAATGGACATATCATTTCCCTGTCCTGTTGAGGAAGCAGAAAGTACTTACATCCCACTTTGGTTGATGACTTAGCTTGGAGCAACTACTTTGAGATGGCAGACATTGCATGACCTGCGGTGTCATTCAGAATGGGTAAGGAGGTGTGATCATTCAATAATTGCATTAGTGTGTGGCAAAAACTTTATTGTGCATCAAGAATAGCTACAGAATTGCCTCATTTGTTGACCAACAAAAAATTTACACCTTTATTTCCTTTGATGACTGACATTGTGGACTTATTTATCACTTTTCCAAAATTGAGATAAAGGGAAGGAAACTTTGATGAGAGAGATTCTTATGTTCTTCACAAAGTTTTTTTCCATAAGCAAACACCTATAAATGCATGTGTATGGCCTGTTCAAGGCAACATGCACATTAGTGATAAAATGCTTTAATGGAGGTTTAAATTAACTGTACCAATATAATATACCTTTTCACATCTTACCAAAGCTGCCATGAGTGGGGCAAGGAGTTCTTCCCAGGAGACACCAAGGGCAGACTCTCCATTCATGTGGAAGCCTTCCAGGACGAATCCTGCAACAGGGTGTCTAGCAACACTTTGAGCACACTGTCTCCTTTCCTCAGTGTTGTACCCACCGACCACAGTGCCCAGGAGTCTTTGCATCATCTCCTGTTAGCATAAAATGAGACATTTCAGCATTAATATGAAACATGGAGATAACTGCCCTTCAACATGAAGTTATTTCAAATGCTGAATAATGCTTCCCTTAATGTAAAAGAGGTTTGATACATTACTTGATGCAGCTGGACTGAGTGACTTAATCTGGAGAATTATAGTAGGCTTGCAAGAAGGGTAGTGGTGACTTGCATCGTTTTTGTGAGTCACCACCTGGTTAGGATCCTTTCCATACATATTAATCTTCTTTTTGAGGAAGGAAAAATTCACTCTAATAGGAAAAATTACATGTCATTGTAAAAAGCAAATGGGTTAAACTTGGCCAGGTTCTATGAAAGATGAATAGTTGTATCTGATAAGATAGCTGACTGCAAGTTTGGCTCATGTAATGTACCTTACACATGGAACATGGTTCGAGGGTTAAAAAAAATTAGTATAACATAATAATTAGTATACAAGGGTCATAGCAAAGAACTATAAGGCCATAAGAGGAAAGCATAGTTCTCATGTACTTGTGTATTAGGGTTTGTCATAGGGAAGAAACTGAAAAAGGGTGTTTATTTGTTATTAATTCTGTCATCCTCCCTTTATTAACATTGGGATAAGCCTGCACCTGATTTAATAAAACTTATAGTATTTTAGGTATGCCTTTGATTTGGAAATGGAATGAGATAGTGACTCCTGAGTGAAAAAAAAAAAACAAAAAACAGAGAACATCTATATCAGAAAGCATAAGAGTATGTTGAACAAATTGCTTAAGATTCTCCAAGTAAACAGGTAGACAAATATGCATGCATTTCAAGCTCAATGATTTCCACAACATGGGATGCAAGGAGAGAAAAACAAGTCTTTACTCCCTGAAAGTTGAAAGTTATTGGGACCACATTTTTTGCAACTAATGTGAACTAGTTCATGTGCAGTGAAGAAGACATGCCATGTGTATTTTTGTGCATCACTGAGAAAGGATAGTTTCATATGTTATGTTGAAAAATCAACAGTGGGACATTCCAAGAGTTTGAGAATGAGTTGTACAACACCACCAGAGCCTGGTATTGATTTAGCTAATGATGAAAGTAGGTGGAGAAAGTGGGAATGGTTTACAAAAGGGATTGAGAACACTGCTTCCATATGCCCTACAGTAATGTTTAAAAAATTACTGCCAAAGAAGACTTTTGCAATTAAATGCCAGTCACCATAAAAAAATATAGGGATGGCTAAGGGAAAAACCCTGACTGGGAGGCTCAAAGGGAGGGAGGGAGGGGAAGGAGGCAGGAGGTGATTCATGTATCAATGCTGATCATCATTCATGAGTCTGAAATAACCCTTAAGTTTTGAACTTAGCAGTATATTGCATTAAGTTGCCAATAAAATAACTGAAAGAAAACCAGAAAAACCTCATTCTGCATGGATCTGGCAGAGCAAACAACACAACTGCTGTTTGGAAGCAAGTTGGGATTCTTTGGAAAACATAAGACCAGGTAAATGGCATGGCTGAGAAAAGTCCATCCTTACCCACTATGAATTTGTTCTCTATAGGCATAAGAGAAAAAAATACCCACTGGTTGAAAAAAACAGTTTCTTAAAGCCCATTCTTGGCAGCAAGGGCCAGCCTCCATCCAGCATACTTTCAGATGACAATGGCAAAATACAGCACTGTATGCAGAATATGCCAAAAGACGAAAGAACATGGTGTGTAGAAATAGCAGAATGTGGGGGTGAAGGAGTTCAAACAATCCTGTCTACTGTCCTACTTTATGTGAGTATGAATATTTCAAACTTACAAGACATCTGATTAAATTTTTCTAATAGCCTAAAAGTTATCAAGTGGACTATACTTGAGACTTCAGGCAGAAACTTAAAAAGGAAAATAGTGGTATTCCTGCATAAGAAAACTTTTTTGCTGATATACAGACACCTGAGAAACTCCATAAGGAACTTCCTATCTTTTCCAATAAAAGGTTTTCTAGGAAAAAATAAAAAGTTTGCATAAAACCACACATGCATATAGGGTCTGCTGGGTTATAGCTAGCTCTGATAAAATGCCTCAAATTCAAGTGACAGTCATACAAAGGGGACTTCTTGAGTAAAAGTATCTTCTCCTAACAGTCCATAGTAGATGAGGAAGGCTGATTGCAGCATGCATATATTTTTGTCCTTCCTCAACCAGGAAAAGCAGATACATTATATCTTTGGGGATGATTCTTTGAAAGAAGAGTATGAGACTTGCTGAATTTAATTCCTTTCGTCCCACTGGCTCATGGCACAATACAAGCCTGTTGCTTCAGGCATGAAAGAGCCTGGGTTAAAAAAGGAGAGGTTTGTCCAATAAAAGATGCTGGCTGGGTAACATCTTCACCTTTGGGAGCGATGATCTTCTATATATATCCTCCAGGTATGAGACGGTTCTATGAGTGGACTTCATGATCCTCTTTTTGGAGCTTTCACGCTCAGTATCAGTATCTGCAAGAGCCTGCCATAAGTCAGGCTGATAGGTGTTTACCAAGGATAAGTACCTAGAGCATAAAAATAAAAGATAAAATACCAATTGGAATCAATTAATATCAAAGAATAATAGTGAGAGTATTTTTGTAGTTGATATATCTGAGAGCAGTGTTTTATGAATGCACAACCTCATTGGAAAGCATGCAGAACTAGAGAAAAAATTTTTACACCAGACCAAGTGAATGGCAAAAAACGTGAAAAAGAAAAAGGAATGAGGAAAATCACTTATTTTAGATTCCAGAAATAAGGTAAAATTTTTTTTGCTTTTCTTCCCTCAACCCACTACCATTGATGTTGCTGGCAACATTTCAGCACATTTATTTTTTAAATCTTTCCCACTTTTTGCTTTTGTATTGAGAATGAATTTCTTCCATAACATGTGCATTGATATCTCTATGGTATTTATCAACAGTTTGAGATAGCTAGGTAGTGCCTATTCATGAGAAGTACTACTGTCAATGGCCATTAGTTTCATAATCTTCCATTTTATGATTGACTCAGTTGATGCTCAAGTAGAAAGACCCATATTCCAATATCAATTTTTCACTCTTCCTGCAAAATTGCCAATTATGAGGAGAAATCTTGGGAATCTTTCCAGCAGTGCTTCTATCTCAAGCTATCAGAATCAACTGAGGCTCTACCTATTTTTCACCACCTATGAAAAATGAGAACATAAGCTAAGAGTAAGTCAAAAATATGGTCAGCCCAATCATGGCCTATACTACATTTCACCTTTGGATTTAATACATCAGGTAATTAAGGAATATACATCATACATCAAATTGAAGAGTACATTCACCTAAACATACTCCTTCCAGTTTCTTCTTGAAACATTTCTTAACATTGGGAATTTTTATGAAGAAAATTTTACTTTACCTTCACTTCCCATATACTTGATTGTGAAAATTCAAGTATGTTTATTTACATTGGTACTTCAATTGTAATTTTGAAATGTGTTATATGAGGATAGCCCAAATGAAAGTGAGATTGTCGTGAGTCCGCCGTCGCTTGAAGATGCAGAACGCTGTGCATGCGGAGCATGGAAGCAAGGTCACCACCTACTGTTCGTATCATGGATGCCTCCAAACGCAGTCAACGTGCAGTCGTACAATTTTTAACTGCTGAAGATGAGAGTCCGGTTGAGATTTATCATCGTATGCAAAATGTGTATGGGACTGAGTGTCAGTCACGCACTTCAGTGTTCAGATGGTGCAGCGAATTTCGTAAAGGACGAACCAGTAGACGACAAGCCTCGACCAGGTCAAGCACACATGGTCATCACCCGGGAAACAATTACTGCAGTGGACAATCTGGTGAGGAATAATCATCGAATCACCACTCAAGAGATAGTGGCAGCACTGTCTATCAGCAAAGGAAGTGTTCACACAATTCTCCATGAAAGGTTGGAATACAGAAAGGTTTGCGTGCAATGGGTTCCCAAACATCTGACGGAGGAGCAGAAGACCTATCGAATGGGTGTTTGCATGCAACATCTTTTGCGTTACAACGAAAGGGGAGACCACTTCCTTTCACGGATTGTTGCCGCAGATGAGACGTGGTGTCGTCGCTTTGATCCCGCCACAAAACGAATGAGCATGGAATGGAGACACCCTTCGTCCCCACGCCCGAAGAAGGCTCGTTCATCCATGAGAGCTGGAAAGGTTATGCTTACATGCTTCTTCAACGCCGATGGCCCGTTGCTATTGGATTGGCTGGAGACAGGCACTACAGTTAATGCAACAAGATACTGCGCCACCTTACACAAACTGAAAACAGCAATCAAGAATCGTGTCCGGGTCGCCGTTGAAGAATGGTTCCACAGCCAATCCCGGAGGTTCTTCACCCAGGGTATTCATCATCTCGTGGACCGCTGGGACGCCTGTATCAACCTTCAAGGCAACTATGTATAGCCATTAAGTTCCTTATGTATCACTCTTTATCCTGTAAACCTACCACACCGATACCATTAAACCATTTGTCAAACCGACAGCAGTCCCACTTTCATTTGGGCTACCCTTATATAATTAGAAGTGGGAGAAATGTATGGTTCTGTCTGTATTGTCTAATTTTTAAATGAGTCATTATCAGCTATTTTTGTGAGAATCCTTTCCTGGGTGTGCTTATTGCATGCAGTGAGAGTGCATGCATGGATGGAACTAATCAACCTAATGAAGACCAAACCAACATTTACTAAAGGCAGACATAATCATCAAAACTTGGGTCTATATAAATGCATAAGAAAAATGAATGACCAAGGTCAAATGAGGAAAGCCTAAAATGGGGAAACACCTTTAACCAAGGGTATACACTTCAATCACTTAGATTTTTCCTCCAAGTTCCCTCTCAAATATGGTCAAGGAATGGTCTTCATACAAAAGACCCCATCTAAAGAGGAAAAGCTTCTTGCATCACCAAACCTAACTGATGTTTCACATACTTTACCATTGAATGTAAAGCATACCTCCAACTATTTTGCCTCCTCAGCTGGAAACAAGAAAGCATGATTCATTTTATTCAATCCAGGCATTCTGGTCCACATGCATCAGCGGTGTGATTCTGAAAACCATGAACAGTCTCCTTTTTTTATCTTTTAGTGAATGCAGAGCAATCCATTCATGGTTTGATGAGAATACTCACATGTCAAGGTCTATCACCTGACGTCCCTTTTTACTCCAAATTGAGATCCCAGATTTATCATTGAATCCACTCCGAAGACTTTCCGCAGGATCTTGCACACTCATGTATACACCATATTCCTGAAAGTCAGAATCAGAAGGTGAAGGTTAATTATGCCAAACGTCTGTTGTAGGAGCACTTTAGTTTGTTTAACAGACAGCAACAGAGCAGTTTTCTTTATTAAATGTGTAGGTGCAATTCTTCATACCTTCAAGCTGGTATTAGCATGTACAAAGCAATAAATTATCTTCAAAGTCTTTAGGTCCACTACACATTTTCCATGTGCTTTGTGATATGTCACTGGGGTAGGCTTTTGGCAACCCAGTCGCATGGGACCATGATTGTTGTTGGGTGGTAATAAATAGTATATTGAGGGTGAACATGGCTTTCCTGGAGTTTTCAAGTGATCATGGAATGTGTGAAAGGCATATGATGCCTAGCCATGCATGTTATAGGCATAGGCCTAGTGACACAGAATGAAATCCAGAATCTGCCTAAACTGAGGAAAATTTAGAAAACTAAAGGAAATGTGCTCAATGAATGGTATACCACACACACTAGCAGTTAACCCCATGCCAATAAAGTCACTTGGAAACTGGTCCTGGTTGCTCATGTATTTCAAATGATGGTCTTCTGCTAATTTTTTGCATGGTTAAGGGAAAAAATTAATTGCTACTACTCTATTAGGAAAAGTTTTAACTTCTTGGATATAATTTAAGGCAATTGAACAACCATGTGTTCGTTTTATCAATAAAATAATACCAGTGTCATTATTATTACAGCCGAATGCTCACAAATGATTAACCCTCCAGGCTTTAAAAATGCTGCAATGGCAGTACCAGATTTAAGAAACCCTTCATGAAAAAGCCCACCTTATCACAGATCGATTCCTCACCTTCATACCGATGAAGGCTGCTAGGCCCATGCCCTGAAGAGCCATTGCATCACGCATCCTTGCAGTCAAGGTGATGGGCATCTGCAGCAACGAAGGCTGCCTGAAGCTCGTCAGTTGCAGCGCATCCTTCGTCAGGTGACAGATACTCCCCGCCTGAACGAGGAACAGCACGGTGTTGATGATGGAGCCTGCATAGGATTTCACTGGAGACGCGAACGATGTCGAAACTCGCCCTGGTGCTGATGATGCATCCGGGAGTCGAGACGTCGGGGATCCGCGATGTGAGGTCCGAGATGGAGCCGACCCGAAGTCCAGAGTCTGCAAGGGTCTTGAAGGTAAACTTCATCGGTGCAGCTAGGATCGCGAAACTACGCCTCGAGGTGCAACCAGCCTTGCAAGAATGTCGGTCTCAGCAATTTCTTCAAATTATTACTCAGGCTACGCTGGCCTTTGCAAGCACGTGGCACTTGATGCGGCAACGAGAGGCGCCATATAAGAACCCCGCGCCGGCGCGTTGGTGTGCTTCAATCTCGTGAACGTGCTGTCCGCCTGGCCCCGAACCCAAGTCGAACGAGTAGGCCTTTTCCGTATGACGTGAGCAATGTTGACTACATTCCTTTCGCAAAGGATTAAGTACCCTTCAATTCCATCAATTAATTACATACAGTCGAACTCGGTTATAACGGCGAAAGCGCCAGGTCCCGGCGTAGAGCCCATAAGGCACGTTACATTTTACCTCGGTTATAGCGAACTCGGTTATAACGAAGTCCATTGAAGGTCCCACAGAAGAAATCGACGACGTTCATGTCACTAATCTGTCGTTCTTAACTGAAATTTTCGTTACCGTTGGCGAGCCATAACTTTATATTTCCTGGATTCAGCATTCCTTGAGAGTCATTTGGCTGTGGCAGGAGCAATGTTAGGGAGGGATAATCCCCAGTAATTAAGATCACCTAATCTTCAGTCGCCATTTGCATTTCTCGTTGACAAAATTGGCCTATGGAAAACGAAACAGGCAAGCCTTCGCGATTGAAAGGAAAGTGTGTTCGATTAGTTTAATAGAAAGAGCTCGAAGTGAAGCTAACGTCGCTCGCAAACATGGACATCTGTTCATCAGTTGTCCACAATTTGGGAAAATCGTGATAGCTTCATCCGTGTTTACGAGAACATGTCACAAAACTAGAAACTACCCAGGTCTGTCGAGATGACATTGACGAAGCCTTGCTAAAATATAAAGTAGTTTAAGGTCAAAAGAAGTGCGAACACGATTAGTGGGTCAATCTTGAAACTGAAGCAAGTGTAGTATGACCGATGTAAACTGGAGTTGTAACGTTAAATAGCATCAATTTTGAAAACAGGAAAACGGAGTGCCAATAAAGGCAACCTCGGTTATAACGAACCTCGGTTATAACGATAACATGGACATCTGTTCATCTGTTTCCACAATTTGGGAAAATCGTGACAGCTTCATACGTTCTTACGAGAGCATGTCACAAAACAAGAAACTTCCTAGGTCTGTCGAGGTGACATTGACGAAGCCTTGCTAAAGTATTCAATATAAAGTAGTTCAAGGTCGAAAGAAGTGCAAACATCACGATTAGTGGGTCAATCTTGAAACTGAAACTATTGCAGTATGACCAATGTAAACTGGAGTTGTAATGTCATATAGCATCAATTTTGAAAACAGGAAAACGAGTGCCAGTAAAGGCAACCTCGGTTATAACGACGGTTTCTACCTGGTCCCTTCGATGGCATTATAACCGAGTTCGACTGTATTTCCGGCTTCACGTAGTCCTGCGCCCCCAGCGCGGAGCCTTGTGATTCATCCAAAAGTTTCATGGCGGTGAAGAGGACGCCGTCCAAGTTTTGATTCAAGCCTCAACTCTAATCGAAATTCATCTCCCATCCCCCCCCCCTCCCACCTTACAGGAGAGGTTGGGCACATTTTAGGCCCCTTCGGTTCCCTCGAGCGAAACCTTTTGGCGAAATCCGGGGTATGCCACGGTGACAACGCACACATAAGTGCCATCTGCCCAACGATGGAATTTCATATCCGATCTAACGTGATGCCAAAACCGAACGTTAGCCCTCCAGAGGGACCCCACACAACAACGGGAACGCAACGGGAAATCAACCATCAACTCATGCTACAGTGTCTCCCCATTGACTTTCGTACCAGCTGCAAGTTGCTTCAGTAAAATACTTCATGTCTTTCAAAGTAAGCATTGAATGATGTTTGGTATCCCCTCCTGCCATCTCATCGCGGGAAGGGACTGAAAGATTATGTAACGCGTACGAATCACTTAGAGAGAGGTATGGAGCACTTTTCCGCAAGTGCCCAGCATTCTGTCAAGTGTCAAATCTCATAGACGAACGGAGTGTGGCGCTCTCACGGCGGTTCGAAGAAGGATTAATCCTCCCGGGGATCACTCTCCTCTCTGAGAAGGTAAGGTGGCTATCGACGGGACATCTCCCGGGTCGCTTCGGAATGAGGAACGAAGGGCGGAAGGTGCAGCGGGTCTCATACTGGCTGCACTGCTTTCCCTTCGAAGGCGGACTTGGGAGTTGGCTTCGGCCTCTGTTGTACTGATTCTTAGGGTCAATGAGATCGGCAAGGGTTGAAGACAGGCTCCCGAGGGCAGACTTGCATTGGAGTTTGCCATACATTTTTTCAAGGTCCCACAGGAAGTATGGGAACGCCGTTTCCCTCGTTTCCGCTAACTCTCTTCGCTGGATATACAGTAGATATAAATACTGAGCTCTTGAAGCACACATTCAAGGTTTGGACAAGGAAGCAAGAGGCTTTTTTGCTCTCATTGAAATCCCGAGAAGAGGTCGATTGCTCTGTTAAAATAGGTCAACCCTTCTCCTGATAAATACAGAATAATTTCATGCGCACACTACTTCAGAATACGAAATGGCTAAATGACAGCGGTGGCGAAAGTGGCAACTCACGACCGAGCGAAAAGGGCGACAGGTGTAAGAGAAGGCGCCACGAGTTTCGCGATCCTCCTGCTCAGCTTGACCCTAACCAATCGCGAGAATGAAGTGGGAGGCACTGCGCATGCGCATCGCGAAAGGGCGCATGCGTTTTGCTTTCTGGAGAGGAGGAGGTAAGGATGCGCATGCGCAAACGGGAACAAGGAATATTAGCTCCTCCCATATTTTCGCTCCCCCTGGCGCACGATAGGGAAACCTTCCCGCTTAACTTCGGGCGAGGAATCCACTACCTGAGTGCAAGAAATCGATCTCTTTAAGTATTGGTCGATACGACTCCATGGAAGTTGGAAAATCGCCTCTGCGGTGCGAAAATAAGGACGAAGTCGGAAGAGTCCGTGGGACCCGAGGGATGGGGATTCCACGGAAGCAGGAGAGAGCGCGAAACTCGAGGGTTCGATCGCCTCTTCCGCTCCGTCGTGCGAGCCACGACCGCGAATTCGAGAACATTGACCATCGTGACCACCCGCAGGAGGCGAACGGTCTCGAATTCCTCCTGCCATCTGGCGAAAGTTGGTCGCTTTGGATGACGTTTGTCAGGAACCCGCGACAGGAACCCGCAAGAACGCTGGGTGACAGTTCTTCCTGCAGGTTTTCGTATTTGAGCGCAAGCAATTCCTTGGGGAAAATAAATACAATACAGCAAAAATTGAAACAAAAAGCCAAGGGGAAAGCCAAGAAAAGGTGGGTGATTAAAGGAACCGGACTTCGCCGTGTTGCAAAGAAAAAGAAGCGAATAGAGGCTTATTTTCCGGGGTCACGTTCTCCGTGACCCCTCGTCCCCGATCGGCTCGTTTCCATCAGACGCTTTCGGTGACAGCGAGCACGAGCGACGCCGCAGGTGTCGACGACCGGTTCCTCATCCGGGAATGAGGTCGGGTCGGTCTCATTCGGGCGACGATTTGCAAGACGCTGCAGGGAATGCTGCGTGCGCGCTTGATGAGATGTGAAGTGAGAACTTCTCGTGAGAACAATATCCGGGAAGACTCGGGAAGAGGCTCAAATAAAGATTCGGTACGAGGAGAGACAAACGGTTCTCTCCCCCCCCCCTATTTCCTTGATTTCAAGACGACTCTGGAAAATGTGCTGCAGGCATAAATTCCGGATACGTTTGATCTTCCAAACTTTCTGTTCAAAATGGGAGCAATGGTGAAAATAAATTTAGCAATAGCCCCCACTCTTCCTCTTTCCGTGAAATTTGAGAGCCTTTTCCCGTAAACTGTTGATCAAGATCTGTTCAAATTGGGTCACGCCTATATTTAATCGAATTTTCGGTATTTAAAGCTAACTCGAGCTGGGTGAGCAACGCCTTCCATTTTAATGTTTGCATTGGCCTAGAATGGCCCTTCAGGAAAATGTGCCACAGACATCAATTCGGGATACGATTTGTCTGCCATACTTTCCCGATCAGGCCCAGATCTGACCAGGCACCGAGCGCTATTTAGCGCCCTATTTTAATGCGGTCACTCTCGCTCTTACAAAAGCAAACAAATAAAACCTCATTCTTGGATACATTAGATCGTCCATCTACCGAAGAAGTTGTAATGTTCAACTGCTCCTCTAAAAGCTCAGCCTACTAGAAGGCATTCTCAGTCAGCGAAATTAAAAGCCAACGAATATTGCGACGCATGCGCGCCGCTCCCCGCGCATGCTCTCTTTGCTCTTCTAACCTCCTAGTGGAACCTCCTCCGTGGAGCTTTCTCGTCCTCCTGGCCACAGCCCAGATGGAAAACCGGTTGGGAGCCCAACCGTGCAAGCGCGAATATGCGGGGGGATTCAAAGGGACGTGATGCATATTCTGCTGCGACTAAAAGCCGATGGGGTTGGGCTTCACGGAATCGATGCTATACAACGATATTGCAACGTCTCTGTCCTATAGGAAATCCCGCACCGAATCAGATTCCTGCAAATGTTTATGCGTGCTGCGGCGCGAATTTCGGAATCAAAAAGTGAGCTGCTTCAATTCTTCGTTGCATCCAAGGAACAACGTCTCGGTCCAAAACTTTCTT